AAAAAGAAAAAAAAACTTAGGGCGCACGCTGCGATAGGCGCAAACAACACGTAAAAACAACCGCTGCGCAGCTCAGTGGTCCTTGAGATCCATGGCTTTTCTTTCAAAGCACTAGCCTCGAGGAATGCTTTCTCCTTTGCGTAACTTCTGTTGATAGGGACTTACTAGTACAGGGTTGCCGTTGATGGCTTCTTTGTGCCAAACTGGCTTCTTTTACGTCGGTTTAGAGATGATAATTTCCATTTGGCGCAAGAGCCACTTTTAAATTTCCGGTTTCATTTAGTGAAAACGTTTTTATTTATTCATCATTTATTCAATATAAAACTCTGTTGATAATACCACTCAAGTTTACTCAGCTTTAAATAGACAAGGCTACTTTGGCTGCATTTCGCTTGAGGTTTGGCACCTTTTAATTACCCCATTATGTCAACCCTGCTTATTATGCACTGGGCTGGTCATCAATCTTTCGTGTGCGACAGCTGGTGTTCTTAACTGTCGCTGTGTCACGCACCTGTGCATCATTACGCGAGTTCTTCAGCGACAGACATGAGTTGCCGTATTATTTTTTTGGGGTGTTGAAGATGGGTTGAGCCAGGGTGCAGGTTTCCGGTTTTACAGGGTCCCCTTTACTTCAATTTCATCTCTGAGACTTGCATAGCAGATGCATAAGTGCAGGTGCGTGGGATGCTACACCAACATTGCTGGTATCGGGTATAGGGAACCGAAGCTCAAGTTTGCGAAGCGATGACAACGCCACGCCTGACCCTGGGGGCGAGCTCCGGAACACTTGAGGAGAGACGCGAGAGAGGTCGCAGGCCAGTGAGTGTGTTTCGCCGAAACGGGAGCGCATGTGACACGCGTGCAGCGCGTTCTGCAGTCGGTGCGGCGAACTTGGGCACCGTGCCGTCAGCTTGGCGCGCTCGCTGTGCGAAGTTGCCTTTCCGCGATGGAAGAAGTGGCCCCACGGAAGCGTCGGCGAGGTCCGAAGTATTCTGTTGTGGGCTGCCACTATAATGCAGAAAACACCAATGGACGCTCTCCTTGTGTAAAGCTGTATCAGTTTCCCATCTAGTCACTGCGAACACAGCCACGTTGGCGAAAGATAGCACAACCAAAGTTTCAAAGTTTCAAAGTTTATTTGCAGGAAAAAAAAAATACAAAAACTTCCCTGCGGGAGGCAAAGACTAAAGGCTAAATAGCCTGACGAGGTCTTGACCTCCTGATACAGTCTGCATCAGTGCCATATTACACATATTCACACATCAGTAACATACATACAAATAAGTGACATTATACATATCTTATTTAGTTACATAGCTTATTTCTACATGATATACATTCAGAATATGTTTTACATAAACAGGAAATAATTTGGTATCAAACGATTCTGTTTAAGTATCATTGTTCACAGTAAGAAAAAAATCAACTCAGTCTACAAGTATTCCTAAATATAAAAGCCTATGGATCTACTATGTCTTTAGTCAAAAGAAGAAAGGATTTATGATGACATTTAAATTGTTTAGTTTTCAGAGTAAAGTCTATATTCGATTCGTGAAGGTTTAGCAATTGTATGATCTTATAATCAATAGCCTGCTTGCCATAGTCGTGCGTGTTTTCTTAGTTTTGCGGGTAGGAATTTCTGAAGCCATATGTTGTTTGATACAGTGCGTGGAAAGGAATCCTGTAGTTTATGTTTGTGGATGTGTTGCATCAGTTTAAGATTATATACTTTCCTAGCAGATAGAATTCCATGTTTAAGAAAAAGCGGCTGAGTGTCTCAGTCCTTGGGGTGACCTTTATATTTTTCTATTACACAGAGCGCGCGCTTTTGCAAGATTAATATTCGATCGTAATTGGTCTTAGTTGTTGTTCCCCATACAAGCATTCCGTATAGAAGCTTGGAGTAAAACATGCTATAATATAATGATTTACATAACCATGAAGGGAGGAGGAAGCAATTTTACTCAAGCACCCTACAGAACGAGCTAGATCTACCAAGAGACTATTTACGTGCGGTGTCCATGTTAAGTGCTCATGAAACCAGACTCCAAGGAATTTTGTGTGCTGACTTGTTCGAGTCGCTGATTGTCAAACAAGATTACTATATTATCACTGATGTGCTTGTTAATGGGCCTGAACATAATAATTTTGTTTTTTGTGTGTTTAATTTTAGTTTGTTTTTGTTAGCCAGCCTGAAAGTTCGAGAGATATATATTTGTCGAAGCTTCTACTTCCTGAATGGTGGAGCCTGTGAAAAATATACTTGTGTCGTCAGCGAACATTTTAATTTCGGGTGTATACTGAACCTCTGTAATATCATTTATATATAAAAGGAAAAGCACGGGGCCTAAAATGGACCCTGCGGAACTCCTTTCTTTACGCTTAAATAGTCTGACTTTTACTGTCTATGCTAACAAATTGTTGTCTGGATGATAAATAGCTTTTAAATAAATCAGAGACTATTCCACGAATTCCATAGCGGCTTAATTTCAACAGTAAGATATTATGGTCAACAGAATCGAACGCTTTACGCAAGTCAAGGAAGACACCTAACGTGAACATTTATTTCAATATTTTCTATTATGCGGCTTTTTACATCAATTAGTGCCTCTTCCGTGGTTTATTTTTGCGAAAACCATATTGATGCGGTGATAAGATATTGTACTTCTCAAGATATTTCATAAGGCGCATATTTATACATTTTCCATAAATTTTGAGAATACAGGTAATACGGATATCGGACGATCGTTTGTTTAATTCAGTAGTGTTGCCACCTTTATGAATGGGTGTAACTTTGGCCACCTTAAGTTTTGTTGGAAAGATTCCAATGAGAAAGGAATAATTTACCAGATATGCTAATACGGGCTAAGTATAGATGCGACAGCCTTAACTGAGCCACCCTTACGTCATCATAACCACTCGCAACGTTTGTCTTTAGCACGAGAGCCGAAAAAAAAAAAGCAAGCACATCAACTTGACTTGTTGTGGTTAAACTTAGCTTGCTGCTTCGCGGCGACGTCAGCGGGCCACGCGCGGCACGGAGGACATGACTACATGACTCTAAAACATCTCGGACATTTTAATTCCATGACCGCATAACTTTAGTTTTAGGGGCGAAGCTCCTTAAGACCTCATGATGTCCACCGTCTCCCGTCTGTCCGTAACACGTCTTCATCTGTCTGACATTTCTGAAGGATTTTCCATGTAACCTTCAACTTATAAGCAACAGAGGGCGTTGGTGGTTACCGTTTTGCATGTAACCTTCAAATTATAAGCAACACAGGGCGCTGTGGTTAATTGTACAGGAGGCCACGCTAGAGATAACAGATAAATACAAATATCTGGGCGTATGGATAAGCACTGGGTCCGAGTACCTAAGGGAACACGATATATACGTGTCGACTAAAGGTAACAGGAATGCACCGGTAATGAAAAACAGGGCACTGTGGAATTACAATAGGTATGATGTTGTGAGAGGAGTATGGAAAGGGGTCATGGTTCCTGGTTTGACGTTCGGCAATGCGGTTTTGTGCATGAGATTAGAAGTTCAAGCAAGATTAGAAATTAAGCAACGAGGAATAGGTAGGCTTGCCTTAGGAGCTCACGGGAATACACCAAATCAGGAAGTACAAGGTGATATGGGATGTACATCATTTGAGAGCAGGGAAGCTAGCAGCAAGATAAAATTTGAGAAGCGATTGAGAGAAATGGGGGAGGAGCCTTGGGCTAGGAAGGTATTCAGCTACTTCTTGTACATGAAGAATGTCGATACAAAATGGAGGAAACGAATTAGAAAAGTTACTGGTAAATACTTAGAAAACAGCAGCGGGCCAAACCAAAAAGAATTATCGGTTAAGAAGAAGGCGAGGGAACCTGAGACCAATATGTGGAGAATCGCCACGGTTAACAAGTCCGCACTAGAGATCTATCGAACTTTTAAGCAGGAAATTACCAAGGAAAGGATCTGTGCTAATATTCTGAGTAGTTCTTTACTGTTTGAGGCCAGGACCGGAGTATTGCGAACCAAGACATATCGAGCCGAATACGAAGGGGTAGACGCTGTGTGCAGTGCGTGTGGCGGGGAAGAGAAAACTGCCGAACACTTGATAATGTTCTGTAAAGGGCTTCGCCCTATAGTTCAGGATGATGGCGCAGAGTTTATGAAAGCACTGGGGTTTAGGGACAGGGAGGGCAAAATAGACTTTAAGCGGGTAGAATTAACTAGAGGGAGGTTATCTGTTTGGTGGCTAAAGTCAAGGCACGACTGAAAATTAAACCCTTCACTGCAAAGTACGAAATATATATATATATATAACCACGTTCCATACCACACAATCTCTTCTCTCATATGGACGAAGACGAACGCAGGAAAGCGCGACGCGCTGAGTATCAGCGTCGCCGTCGACGGGAAGCTACCGCGGAGACAAAAGAGAAAGAAGCGAATGCAAAGCGGTGACGGCGACAACAAAGTTTTACACCACAGACTAGGGCTAAGGAAGCAAAGGCTAAGCGGGAAAAACGCCAAGCTGACGCGCAGTTGAGACAACTTGAAGCGGATGCAAGGCGGCAATACCGATAAAAAAATTCTACACCAGAGACGATAGCTAATGAAGCTTTGATAATGAAGTCAAAACGTAACCCGGAACTCGGAACCTCATATCAGCTATAAAGAAGAATAACCGCTATATCACAATCGGTCTCAGCACTATCTCTTTGAAAAAAAAATATATAAGTAGCACAACCACAATCAGTCTCAGTACTATCGCACCTTTAATCCCAATAATCACCTCTGAAAGCTTTGCCCCATAATTATCTTGAAGCAGCTTGAAATGCAGTGATTTTTGTATTTATTTTTTCAGCACGCCGCAAATGTATGCACATGACAGTACACGGTTGCTACAGCTAGATACCACAACAAAGCAACAATTATATCGTTTCCTTAAACGTTAACACAGCACATCGTACAGTACGCGGCTTCATTTCGGCAGAATGAGACTTACCTAGAGGCATACGACGTACATGGTATTATGACGGAGGACCCGAGAAATATATTTAACAGTGACGCGGGCGGCTTAGTCTTCTGTCATCTGCTCCAAAACATAAACTTGACGAACGAGCTTTACTCCTTTTGTTAGATTCGCTTCTCGAAAGTGCTTGTCCAGCTGAAAGATCTTTATGAAGCCGCCCTGCAGGTGGTACAGTGGGAGGTGACTCAAACGCAGCACGCGCTCTTTGCACGAGCACGTAAACGAGCGGCAGCGCATTGAAGGGAAGGGAAAACGCGTGCTATACATATCCAGTTTCTACTTTTCCACCAAAAATGGCGCTGCCTGTTCAGAGTCGCAGCGCCACCATGCGTTGCTTCGGCTTCCTATCGCCGCGAGTTTAAAAGCAATTCGTGCTTAGAACGGGTGATCCATCAGTCACGGATGTGTGATGACACGTGTGAGCCACCAGGATGTTCCTGTTGATTGCCTTCTTTTAGTTTGTGCAGGCATAGGCATGTAACGTGGTGTATTTTCCGTGTGCAGAAAAGTGCGTCTGCGCGTCTTTTTGTCATGCATCTCAGTGAACTATGCTGTGGATCCATGTTTTATCGTATGACAGACTACTCTGCATGAGTGCCTCCAGCGTCGCTGACTTGGTACAATATCAATTATTCGTGACAAGTACTTGTGTCAACTTAATTTGTACTTGAAATGTACACATTTCTCACGAGAGAATTGACGCATGTTTTGCGCTGCCATCTTTTCTTGTTCAATCTGTCACAGGTTTTGAGACGGGGTTGTAGCACGTAGCAAGCTCAGTGTCTAGGAGGCATAGTCTTGTAAACTTTCACATGGCAAGCTGCTTTTGCTCGGGGATGTGTTCATCCCTCGGTGACCCCCCGCTCCCCCACTGCGCATGCGCCAGCTTTAATCTCCCTCTCCTTGCGTGAGCACGACGGAGGGGGGATGAGGTGGCAGAGCGCTGCCTCCACTTCGTTTCTTCTCTCCCATTTATCTCTCTGTCACAGCTGTGAACTCGTGTATAACGCTGTGTTCGCTCGCGTCGTTGCAGTCTCCTAGCAGCGCTGGGTGTTCACTTCGCGGCGTGCACACGGTAATACACACAAATTGGAGGGGAGGGGGTGGGTAACATTAATGGCACACAACATATACACAGCACCACACACAAATGAAACATACGCGGAAACAAACAAATGGAAACAAAAATGAAAAAAGTGAACACCAGCACTGCTTTGCTACCGCACATGGTTTCCCTTTAGTCGGGGATGGTGTAGTTTCTTTAGCGCAATTTCTCATAGACGTTTCTTCAATAATATTATTTGGGGTTTTGCTTCTCAACACCATGATATGAATATGAGAGATACCGTGGTGAAGAGCTCAAAAAATGTCGACCATCTACTGTTCTTTAACATGCATCGACATCGCTTGAGCATATCATCACCCTCGATACGCGACCGCATCAGCATCTTAGCACCCTAACCTTCACTCCAATATGGTGGATGGGGTAAGGAGAGAGCAGGCTAATGAGATTTCTAAAAGACCCCTCCCGTCCTCCCCCCCCCCTCCCGCCGCCGCCAAAGAGAAATAAAAGCAACAAAAAGACGTGTCGGCAAGTCTGTCGAAGCGTTCAGTGGGCCTTCTCTTCTTCTGCCAGCAATTCTGCATATGGTCAAATGTCGTTTGTTTTGTGGAGGCTCTAGAGACTGTCGAACTACACGCCGTGCAATCTGTCAACCTGTGAGCCTAGAATGACGTACGAGGTATTACTGAGCCTCGAAGACGCCCCAGAGTTGTTCCTTGCCTTTTTCTGGCAAGGAACAACTCAGCAAAGATAACCAGCCGTAAGCAGGATAACCTGCTCACGGCTGGTTATCTTTTCATCCACTTTTCTTTCTTCTTATTTACATTCCATTGGTTCTAATTACTTCCCCTGTACGTTCCTTGGCATTACTGTCTGTTAGATCTCATATATATATATATATATATATATATATATATATATATATATATATATATATATATATATGAATTCCTTGCTTTTTTTATTTATTTATCATATTATTGTGGTGTGGTGCCGTTTCAGAGCTATTCTCCAGACGAGTCTAATCGAGGAAACGATGCCGACAAATTCTGAATTAACGTCTTAGACCGCATAGAGAAATCAGTGCGATTTTTTCTTCACTATATGCGAGGAGATATTCAGCTCCTTATATCTTCACGTGATGTGACTGAACGTACAACACATGAATTTTTAATAAAAGAGAAATGAAACATACGGCTTTCAAACGGTCAGAATTCCAACAGTGAAACATGGAGATGAGAAAAATACCACCATGGCGCACACGTGACACAGATTTCTCGAAGTAACGCCCAAAACATGAATGAAGTGCTGCACATAAAAGTGGTAGTTTAAGCAACACGCAGCGAATGTAAAAAAAAAAAAACATCCGTTATGCGTAATGTAATTACGGTGAAAAGATTACTGCAACACCATATATGCTCGCCATCTTCACGTGTTTATTTTTTATCTGTCAGCTGTTTCACTGCCACCCATTGCCGTTCATTCACTACAGTCACATCACGGTTATACATTTCACGACCCAGCGCTCCTTCTCTCAAAGTTGAATCATCACCATCCATTAGCGTTTTGTGTGGTTTAGGAGCCAATGGCAAATACCCGGCGTCTCCTCTGAATCGAAGGAATTAGCATAAGGTCGCAGGAAAATGTTCGAGTGAGAACCCGAGATTAATGAATGGTGACTGTTCTGACAGGGACGTGGCCCCGTCTCTTTTCTTGTCTTATTCGTAGCCATTTAGCTTGGACATTTCTTCGCCATAACTGAGGCGTGTTGATTCGAAATAACGCAAAGGATGTAGATAGAAAAGGAAAAAAAGAAGAAAAAACGCACTTGAGGGGGGAGAATCGGGGGAACGCTAGTACAGCTATATGCCAGGCGTCTATATCTCATTTCCATTCACGATTACGGGTATGCACGGGGAGCAGTACCTTCTCGGATCTTCGTGACGTAATTAGTCTAAGTGCATTCACCCCTGCTTCGTTAAGCATGATGCGCGACTAAGCCTCAGTTGGGGGTGAGGGTTAAAAAGAAAGGGGGGTTGGTCGGACCACACTACAGCGTGTCGGATTGGTAACTCGAGACCACTGACGGGCGGGTAAGCTGTACAAAGGGACATTTCGTTTCCTTCAGGTCTTACTCGAGAGGAGTCTGAAGCCATTCATTTTCCGCAGCTATATTCCGCCAATTAGAATGACACGCGGTCTTCCAAGGGCTGGTCCAGGTTGGGGAATTCTGTTTCGCGCGTCGGTGGACTCGCATTTGGACGGAGATCCCAGCACTTGGCGCGAGCACGGAGCTTCGGCGAAGTGCTCTGACTACACTATGCGCACCGCCAGCAGCTGTCGGTAGGTGTTAACCACGCTGCCGCACACCACGATAGGAACCTATAGTGTCAGCGAATATTAGTGTAGATTAGTAATATACCCAGAGCGCAATGAAAAGTTCGAAGACGTTGGAGTAGCCTCTAATGGATACTGATTAAAAGACTGCGTGTCCAGGTTGTAGACTGCCTGTAAAATACTTTGCCTAAGCTCTAGTTTTCTGTTGTTAGCTGATGGACGTACTTTATGGCATTTCATTTATTTTATCTTAATGACCCCGCAGGGGTGTTACGTAACGAGTGGGGTATACAGTATAAACAGGAAAAACACTACAGAGACTGTTCACACACAAAAAAAAATCTTGTTAATGCGCCCGTGAAGGCAGTTCAGGTGGCGATGGAAACGATGTGGAGAGAAAGGCCATTCCAGTTTTTGGCTGTGCGATGAAAAAATGATGACGAGCAAGCAACAGTGCTCGCACTTGGGCCAGCAATGTTATATGAAAGGCCTATGTGCTGTGAAATACGTAAGGAGGAGGAATGTAAGGTGCGTGACGAAGTGAGCTGATGTAGAACTTGTGATATAATGATAAGCGCCGGATACGATGACGATAAGCCATCGATTCCAACCCAGAATATGCTTTTGAAGATGAGACACTGATGTCGTATGAGAAGGATGAATGAATATACCTTACTGCGTGACTCTGCACGGACACTATGGCATCGATGAGGTAGTTCTGATGAGGATTCTATATGGGCGATGCATAATCGAGCTTAGGCCTGACCAATGTTTTATATGCGAGTAGTTTTGCAGACCGCCACTTAATTAATAACACAAGTTATGTAGAAAAGGAAAAGTTACGTTTTCTGTCTTGCTATATATGTGCATTTACTGCAGCCCTGAAAATTGTAAACAGATTGAAAATTTCGTGCCTATGGACAACAATATTACCAAAATATAAAGACAAGGTTGTCATACTGTTCGAAAGTATGGGTATGAAAGCATACTTGACTTCAACTTTTTTTTCAGCTATTGCGTGAATAAATACATGTGCTCTGAAACATTCATTACGCGCTAATAATAAAGATAGTTGTTGAATAAAGGAAGCACTATTTACTCATTTTTGGTAACTCATATTTTTACCGATGCACTAAACAACATCTTTAAATCACACTACGACAGAAGTGCATCACTGATTGGGGTCGCCAGGTTCTGATTTCAGCAGAGTAGAATCATCAATCACTCGACAAACTTTCAGAGGTCTCATTGAAGTGAATCTAGCCTAATTAGGGGATTCGACATCTGGTAGCTCTATTTAAATCACCCCGATGATGTAGAAGTTAGGGTCTGCCAAATCTCAAGGGATACTTCGAGGAGACTTGTATATTTTGTGTTCGTGTCAATGGGAGCATTGTATACACTCTTAAGGCGCTGGACGCCCCACTAGATAATGACATTCGGTTGCACCACGGGTAAACCCGTCACAGGTGGCTGGAATTTCATAAATAATTAACGCTAAGTGTACTATGTCTCGAATAAGAAAACAAAATAAAGCAGCCGAGTCACTTGTATCCGGCTAGATAGATAGATAGATAGATAGATAGATAGATAGATAGATAGATAGATAGATAGATAGATAGATAGATAGATAGATAGATAGATAGATAGATAGATAGATAGATAGATAGATAGATAGATAGATAGATAGATAGATAGATAGATAGATAGATAGATAGATAGATAGATAGATAGAGACGCTCAATGTCGCCGAAGTTCGGTAACAAATGCTTCGAATTTAAAAAAAAAACTTTAAACTTCGTGACCCAAT